TGCCCCACTGTATGGTGAGATAAAACAAACTTCCCAATCCCACAAAAACGGGATGATAATCATACACCAAGTGTATAAACGGTGAATCCCAAATGCGGGATAATCATATATCTAAGTGACAAGTGCTTGAAATGAAAAACACATAAAATATTCACATGTGAATCAGATAAAAATAGTGAAAAATCAATCATATAAGTAAACGTCCAATGAAGTGAAAAAAATTTGCAGATAAGGTGCTTCGCTATTCCTGGTCATGCAAATGGTGCAGTGTATGTGCACACCAAACAGATCCTTCAATGGCTAAAATGCCCCCTCACCTCCATCATACGACCCAATGGACCAATACGCCTTTTGGATCACACCTGGATCCTTTACGGGTAATATCTCCTTGCTATCCGACCTCCAAAGACTCTTCCCTCACTGGCGCCACAGACAGCATAAAAGGTATCCTTTCCCCTGGGTAGGTAGGTAGGTGACCTCGATACAGCCAACTTACTCACATGTAGCTACATCCTGCTATGTAGTGATCAGTGCAGGTGAGGAAAAAGGTACCGTTTTGGACACTCCTCATTCTGGAAGAGCTTTGTGCGGGGCAGGAAAGTCTGTAATAACTTGAAGTCCTACACGGTTTTTGGGATCCAGAATGAGGAGTGTCCAAAACGGTACCTACCTGTGAATATTTTATGTGTTTTTCATTTCAAGCACTTGTCACTTTGATATATGATTATCCCGTATTTTGGATTCACCGTTTATACACTTGGTGTATGATTATCATCCCGTTTTTGTGGGATTGGGAAGTATTTTTTATCTCGCCATATATTGGGTCCTTTTTTAGGACCAAGTTGATTGTTTCACATTATACACCACATGGCACTATATTTTAGATCCCTGAAGGATCTCAGCACTACGTTTGCTTTATAAGTTATTGATTGTATATATGTTGTTTTAGCGCTGCAGCATATAATTTTGATTAACTGAGCGTATTCAGCTTTGTTGCTAGTGAATGGAATCATCAAAGATGGCCACCGCATTCCAAAGAGCGGAAGTGACGTCGGCGGACGTTGTGTCATCAAACCTCAACGTGTTTCGACCAATAGATCGTCATCAGGAACTGCCTTCCTGATGACAGCACTTCCTGATGACAATCTATTGGTTGAAACACGTTGAGGTTGGATGACGCAACTCTGACGTCAATTCCGCCCTTTGGAACGCACACTGGAACGCAGCGGCCATCTTTGATTCCATTCACAAGCAACAAAGCTGAATACACTCCGTGCCAAGTCATAGGCACTTTTTTTGAGAGGGGAATTTCTGGGATAAATTTAGCATCTGAGAAGGATTACTGGTTACCATCCACAGCGCTAGTTAATCCATGGAAGGATATATTGGTTACTATTAGCAATGCTGTGGAAGAACATCAGACACCAACATCACAGTGTACATTGGGACAGTCCCAATAAAAGCGCTAGTGACCATCCTAGAGATAGGTGGTCAAGGGATGACGGTGAGTGCAAATCCATGTGGGGCACCGGTCTGAGCACAGTGGAGCACTTGTCAGTTTATTACGGAGTTCACAATCAAAAACTTAGCATGCTTACACCCTATTTTCACATATTGGGACTGCATATGTAATACAAACAGTTTAATTAGATGTTTATTATGACATATGATTATTGATTATTTTTGAGTGTCATCAGTTTTTTATTGTTTATACAACTTATGCGCGGTGCACATGGTATTTATTATTTGTTTTGTGTTTATAAGTTCACAGTTAGGACTGCTGCATTACACCGGTATTTCACATTATGTTTTTTATTTATAAGCACAGCAGCATTCCTTTACGTTTTACATTCAATGCCAAATTGTTTCCCATAGACCTCGATGCAAAAATGCCTCCCATAGACTTCGATGCAAAACTTCCTGTCAATAGCAATCCTATGTGAATACTTATCAACGCATGCCACTCTACTCTATCACTTGCAAGTCTGGAATGCACTTGCACAGGATCCTTTTCATAATGGCACTCAAAACGCAACGTGTGTGGATTGCATCTCTGTGAAACACATCAATAGGAACAAAATATTCAGCCTGTCATGCAAATCTGTGCCTTTGAAAAATGCTAATGTGTGAATCTGGGTGGCTCCATTCACACCTACCTGAGGGTATTGGTATTGCAAAATGCAGGTTCAGGTGCCATTACTTTCCATGCATCAAATCACGTTGCCTGAAGCTTGTCACCCAAACGAAGCTCCTGCTCCTTTTTTGGGCAACAAGCTTCATGCGATAAAATTTGCCGCACATGCCGCACAATAAATTGTGCAACAATTGCAGCAAAACCGCACCACATTTAAATTGAAATTGAAAATGACACTTAAACCTTTGTTTTGCGATTGCTGTGCATTTTGAGAATTCGGGGGCAGAATTGCAGCGATTCTGTCACAATCCCAAAATGGCCAGGTGTAAACATTCCTAATGGAACGGACACTGGAGCTTGATTTGGCTGCTCTGCAGGTGCTAGTACTGAGCAGGACTGGAGCTACCACTAGGCAAACTTGTGCCACAGCCAGGACTGCCAATAGGGAAGTACAGCTGGCCCCGTTGTAACATTAATTATATTTTCCAGGGCCCCATAAGTTCACCAGAGGGCCCCATGAGGCAAGAAGCAGAGAGAGTGTAGCTCAGTCGTACATTTTTAATGTCCCTCAAACACAAGTGTAAATAAGAACTAACAGGAAGCATCTTTATCCGCTTCCCATCTGCCCTATAGCAGAAATAGTGCTACAGAGCTGCACGGGTGCGCAAAATCACGTGTGTATATATACGTGATTTCGCATTTCCGGGTAGGGGACCCCTACCCGCACCGCCATTCGCAGCCAAGGTTGTTAATCACCAGGTCCTGGCCAGTGATTACTTGCTGGCGCCCGGTGATTGCTGAGCATCTCCAACCAGGGGGGAGAACTGTTTGTAAAGAAAACAGTTATCTCCCCTGTCTGCTCCTGCACACTGATTTGCATGGCTATGCAAAGCAGTGTGCTTACAGTAAAGCACAAACACACAGCCCCACAGTAAAACGCACACAGTTAACCCTTTGATCGCCCCACATGTTAACCCCTTCCTGCCCAGTGCCATTAGTACAGTGTCAGTGCTTTTTATTAGCACTGATCACTGTATTAGTGTCACTGGGGATGTCAGTGACACCAAGTCAGTTCCCCACAATGTCAGAATGCCCACCGCAGTCCCGCTATAAGTCGCTGATCGCTGCCATTACTAGTAAAAAAAAATTAAAATCCCAGTGTATCTATACCACCATTTGTAAACACTGTAACTTTTACGTAAATCAATTAATTTATACGTATTGGGTTTTTTTTTGTTTTTTTTTTTTTAGCAAAGACGTGTCGCAGAATACATTTTGCCCTAAATTTATGACAAAATTTGATTTTTACATTTTTTTTTTTTTTTACTGGACATGTTTAATAGCAAAAAGTCCAGAATACTGTTTTTTTTCTCTCAAAATTGTCGGTCTTTTTTCTTTTTTTTAATAGCGCAAAAAATAAAAAAGGCACAGAGGCGATCAAATACCACTGAAAGAAAGCTCTATTATTGGTAAAAAGCATGTAAATTTAATTTGGGTGCAGCGTTGCATGACCGCGCAATTGTCAGTTAAAGTAACACAGTGCCTTAACACAAAAAAAATGGCCTGGTCAGGAAGGGGGGTAAATCCTTAAAAAGATTGTCATGAGGGACAAGTAGATTGGGATTTAGTCCCTTCGATAAGAAGTTTAAAAAACTCCCACACCACTGAGTAACATTAAACCTAGAAGCAAACCTTTATTGCATTGCAGCTTACCAATTCTTAGATATGATGGCTGCATTAGTTTTCTTTTTTAGGTTTTCAGTCTTTTATTTTTTACTTTTTACCTTCCTTCACATGGGCGCTGAAGCCCGTATACTGTGAATGGGCAATTTTTGCAGCATGCGTAGACTCCAGATGCTGCATCCAGGCAGTCTATTTAAGTCTATTAGCAGATAGATGCTGCATGCATATAGTCACTGTGGCAGGTGAGGAGCAGCAAACACGCCCAAGGACTAATTTACTGAAACCGGAGAGTACAAAATCAGGCTTACTTCTGCATAGAAACTAATCAGCTTGTTCAGTTAAGCTTTGGCAAAAACACATGAAAGCTGACTGGTTTCTACGCAGAAGTGAGCCTGATTTTGAACTCTCCAGCTTTAGTAAATAAATCTCACAGTCTGCGTCCGATGCCACTTACCTGTGTGCATTCACAGTATATGGGCCTTAGAGTGCATGAACAAGGACTTACCAGATCAAGCTAGTCAGCAAAAATGTCAGGTAAAGGGGGTAGACAAATCATTTACCACTGACGGGTGCTTACAATGATCAGCTTTTATTTATTTACGTAAAACCTTTTTTAAATACATTTGTTAGTGTGTACAAATCTGCTAGTACATCTAACACTCCCCTCCCTTCAAACTGACAATGCTGCTATCCAAAGGTGCCCCTGTGTTCCTTCATCATTGGTGGCAGTCTTCTACAGGAGGTGTGTTAATAGCCAGTGCACCAGGTGAAAACACAGGGCAAAATCCTAAAAATAAAACAAACTAATGCAGCCACCACATCTAATGATTGGTAAGCTCCAATATATTGCATTTTTGGATTTGAGTTTAATGGCGCTTTAAGCGATCAAATTGGCCAGCTGTTGTCTCATGTCTGTGGATAGTGTAAAGGAACTCTGTCATTTTCAACTTTCTTTAATTGCCTCCCGCCCACCATATAAGGTAATGATGGGCGCAAGGCGGTTCTCTCGTTCTCGGAGGACGTCATATGATGTCTTCCCACCCTAACTGTGCCTGCGTGTGCGCGGCTCCGGGGGGCGCGCAGCATGGCGATCAGTGGTGCGCTGTGTCCCTCGGACATCAATGCCACATATCAGTGCCCATCTGAGCTGCCTTTCAGTGCTACCGGTGCTGCCAATCAGTGCTGCCTATCAGTGCCAGTCAGTGTCGCCTATCAGTACCGCCTGTCAGTGCCGCCAATCAGTGCCATATATGAGTGTTGCCTTTCAGTGCCCATCAGTGATGCCTGACAATGCCCATCAGTGCCACCTACCAGTGCCTCCTCATCAGTACCCATCACTGCAGCCTCACTAGGTTCACATCAGTGAAGGAGAAAAATCACTTATTTTCAAACTTTTATAACAAAAACTAAGAAACTTTTTTTTTTCAAAAGTTTCAGTTGTTTTTGGTTTGTTTAGCAAAAAATAAAAAACCCAGAAGTGATTAAATACCACCAAAAGAAAGTTCTATCTGTCTCAAAAAAATGATAAAAATATCATATGAGTAGAGTGTTGCATGATCGTGCAATTGTCATTCAAAGTGTGACAGCGCTGAAAGCTGGAAATTGGCCTGGGCAGGAAGGGGGTATAAGTGCCCTGTAGGCAAGTGGTTAAAAAAAAGTTTCTGCAAAGAAATGCTTAGCTTTGAGCCGCTGAGTGTTGCTACAATTCAACTGGCAGAATTCTTCTGAAAGTGTCAGTCTCTGTATTACTGTAGTGACATAGGGGACTGCCTGAGACACAGGACCTTAATATGATGGGAAAGGTTGGTTCCAAAAGAAACTTCAGATGGGGATTACTCTGTATTGCAGCAGTGTTTGGAAGGGTAGGTGGGAATGAGACATTTGATTTTAGGGCCACAGGAAGCTGTACGCGGGAAACAACAGCTTTCATTAGATACACTATATTGCCACAAGTATTGGGACGCCTGCCTTTATATGAACATGAACTTTTATGGCATCCCAGTCTTAGTCCGTAGGGTTCAATATTGAGTTGGCCCACCCTTTGCAGCTATAACAGCTTCAACTCTTCTGGGAAGGCTGTCCACAAGGTTTAGGAGGGTGTCTATGGGAATGTTTGACCATTCTTCCAGAAGCGCATTTGTGAGATCAGGCACTGATGTTGGATGACATCTTGGCTCGTAGTCTCTAATTCATCCCAAAGGTGTTCTATCGGGTTGAGTCAGGACTCTGCAAGTCAATCAAGTTCCTCCACCCCAAACTCGCTCATCCATGTCTTTATGGACCTTGCTTTGTGCACTGGTGTGCAGTCATGTTGGAACAGGAAGAGGACCATCCCCAAACTGTTCCCACAAAGTTGGGAGCATGAATTATCCAAAATGTCTTGGTATGCTGACACCTTAAGAGTTCCCTTCACTGGAACTAAGGGGTCAAGCCCAACCCCTGGAAAACAACCCCACACCATATTCCCCCTCTACCAAATGTTACACTTGTCACAGTGCAGTCAGGCAAGTACCGTTCTTCTGGCAACTGCCAAACCCAGACACATCCATCAGATTACCATACAGAGAAGTGTGATTCGTCACTCCAGAGAACACGTCTCCACTGCTCTAGAGTCCAGTGGCGGCGTGCTTTACACCACTGCATCCGATGCTTTGCATTGCACTTGGTGATGTAAGGCTTGGATGCAGCTGCTTGGCCATAGAAACCCATTCCATGAAGCTCTCTACGCACTGTTGTTGTGCTAATCTGAAGGCCACACGAAGTCTGGAGGTCGTTAGCTATTGACTCTGCAGATAGTTGACGACTTCTGCGCACTGTGTGCTTCAGCATGCGCTGACCCCGCTCTGTCATTTTACATGGCCTACTACTTCATAGCTGAGTTGCTGTTGTTCCCAGTTGCGTCCACTTTGTTATAACACCACTAACAGTTGACAGTGGTACATTTATTTGCAAGGAAATTTCACGGATGGACTTATTGCACAGGTGACAACCTATCACGGTACCACGCTTGATTCACTGAGCTCCTGAGAGCGACCCATTCTTTCACAACTGTTTGTAAAAGCAGTCTGCATGCCTAGGTGCTTGATTTTATTTATCTGTGACCATGGAGGTGATTGGAACACCTGAATCCAATGTTTTGGAGGGGTCTCCCATTCCTTTTGGCATTATAGTGTATATTCCTTAATAGCCACAATAAATCCATTTTGTATTCACCAGATGCCTTTGGAAACCCAGATATTGCCATATAAATGTAGCAATGACATCGTCACTGTGCTGTACATAGCCTGTGCAGAGCTGTGGGAGGGGCTCAACAAGCCCACCCACTACACACTGCCTGCAGAAAACTACAAGAAGAGGTGGAGCCAAGACTAGTCACCCTGCACAAGGAGAGATTAACTAGTGACTGGTCTTTATTACAGGAAGCTCCTGCTCAAAGACAAAGTTTCATACTGGATTACTGTACAGATCTGGAAGAAATACACAAAGCACACCAAGTTTCAAGTAAAATTCCCATGCTGCTTTAGACAGTATTTGCTTTTCCTGAAGTTCAGATGTAACTAGTTACTGTAGCTACTATCTCATATTCTTTTGGGCTGTTTTTCAATGATTAATCAATGATTTTCAATGTCACAGATGGTTTGATTCCTGATATTTTTCTGATGATTTGCCTTATGTCTACATAGGAGGTGGCAGTGGGTTTGTTGGCCAGTCACTGTCGCAGTTATTAAGGAAGAGAGGTCATAAAGTTACCATTATTTCCCGAAAACCTGGAGAACAGAAGATTACATGGGTGAGAGATTTTATGACCGAATTCTACAGTGTTTTTTTTTTTTTCTTGAAAATCATGACATGGTTAATGTATTGGCTCTTTCTAATTGTGTTATCTGCATTCATAATATGCTTCTTGCACAGTTTTGATAATCAGGAGTAAGAACAATATTGGTCTCTTCTATTAAAGTGAATACAGAAGTTGTCAGTGCTCCTGGGAAAGTAGTATGTGAGGTTTTATGTAGGGCAGTGTCACTATAATGCTTCGTGGGTGTGACACACTACTGTCAAGATGTTTTATTTGGAGGCCTGTCTCTGTCTTGAAACATTCTTGGAAAGCTGCTATAAATAACATAAACCAAAGTCTCCAACTTCATATTAGGAAGACTGCCATGATTTATTTTCAGTTCTGGAATAACTAAAGGCAAACTTTTTTTTTTTTAAGTTTTGGGTAGAGTGGAGCGGATTTAGAACACCTATTCGGTCTTTATTGCTGTTGGTGCTCCCTTTAGGGAGATTCAACTTCTCTTTTTGTCCTGTTTACCATTATCAAAGAAAGTGAAAGTAAAATAAAATCACACATTTTGGGTTATCCCCAGAAAAGTAATAGAGGGGAAATCTTCCAATAGGGACACTGCTTCTAGTGACCCGAGGATCCCCAAGGGATTCCCTTAATTTGCGGGGATTTTTCCACTTCCTGATTTGGCTATGGGACAGGAAATGAAGGAAAATCTCCTACATGGGTACAGATGGCAAGAAAAAAAAAACTGATAGAAGTGTTAACCTTCCCTCATAACTATCCAAAATGGGAAAAAAAAAACAACTTTTGCCTATAGTTCTACTTTAAAGACTGCGAAGATCATCCCCAGTAAATCATTTGGGAAATAGATGACTTACTTCTTGTCACAAATCACAGCATTGGTCACATCTAAAAACACACTAAACAAGTTTGTAGCTCTTTTGACCCCTAAACATTGATCCAATGTCATTATGGACTTGTACCAGGATAGACCTCTGTCGATGGTAAAAGAGGTCAGATACTAGAGAATATAAATGCATGATGCCAAGGGGTAGATAAATGCATATATACTGCTACAGGGCGGCAGGGGTGCGCAAAATCAGGTATATATACGTGATTATGCATTTCTGGGTACGGGGCATGCGCGAGCCCTACCTGTGCCGCTACTCGTGGCCTTGGTTGTCAATCATCGGGTCCCGGCCAGTGATTACTCACTGGCACCCGGTGATCACTGAGCATTAGCGACGGAGAGAGAGCTGTATGTAAACAATACAGTTCTTTTCTCTGTTGGCTCCTGCACACTGCTTTGTATGGCTCTGCATAGCAGAGCCATACAAAGCAGTGTGCTTACAGTTGAAAACACACAGCTTACAATAAAACAGCACACAGTTAACCCTTTGATCACCCCAGATGTTAATGCCTTCCTGTCCAGTACCGTTAGTACAGTGTCAGTGCTTTTTATTAGCACTGATCACTGTATTGGTGTCACTGGGAATGTCATTGACACTAAGTCAGTTCCCCCCAGTGTCAGACTGCCCGCCGCAGTCCCGCTATAAGTTACTGATCGGTGCCATTACTAGTAAAAAAAAAATCCCAGTATATATACTGCCATTTGTAAACATTAAAACGTTCACATAAACCAATTAATTTACACATATTGGGATTTTTTAGCAAAGACATGTAGCAGAATACATTTTGGCCTAAATTTATGATGAAATTTGTTTTTTTTTTTTATTTTTTTACTGGACATATTTTATAGCAAAAAGTAAAAAAACATTGTTTTTTCTCAAAATTCTCAGTCTTTTTTTTTTTTTTTATAGCGCAAAAAATAAAAAACGCACAGGGAATCAAATACCACCGAAAGAAAGCTCTATTCCAGGGTGAATGACCGCGCAATTGTCAGTTGAAGTAACGCAGTGTCGTAAAATGGCCTGGTCAGGAAGGGGGGGGGGTAAATCCTCTAGTGGGCAAGTGGTTAAATACAGTAAGTGCACTTCAACTCTTCAGCCTTTTTTGTTTTGCTTTCTGTGTACATCTCCTACACATTGGATTCCTTGGAGGGGAGGCCAAGATTCTTGAGCAAGAAGGGCTCTATTACTTTGTAAAATGCAAAAGCAGGGAGAGCATTGTAAAGCAAGGTAAAAGTTGAATAAATGTGCTGCTGCACCTTTAATGCCCAGTCAGCAGTCAGCTCTGCTTAACTGTTTTGGAGAAGAGTGTGGTTAGGTACATGGGCATACTGCAAAGTAATAGAAAAGATTGCCGTTTGCTTGCTTATTCTTATTTGTATGTTTTGTTGTGGTTTGACAGGGAGATGTCACCAAAAAGGGTCTGCCACCATGTGACGCAGTTGTTAACCTTGCTGGAGAGAATGTCCTGAATCCCCTAAGAAGGTAAGAGTTGTGCGATGAATATGGCATGTCATTTTGTTACTGTTGTAAAAAATGGTTATATCATGCTAGTGTGATGATAATCCTGTTTTTTTCCTTAATACTAGCATCCAAGAATTTGAACCTTAACCCATCTTTACCAAAAACTGATATTTTAGCTTTTGAATTACCCATTCATATCTCATATGAGTTGTTTATGTCTCCATCTTCTTCCATTACAAAGCTGTCATAAACTAAAAGTGATTCTAAAGCTTAGATTTTTTTTTTTTCTAAAATAATAAACATGTCAGACTTACCTGCTCTTTGCAATGGTTTTGCATAGAGCAGCCCTGAATCTCCTCTTCTGGGGTCCCCCGCCAGGGCTCCTGGCTCCTTCTCCCTTCCAAGTGCCCCTATAGTAAGCCACTTGCTATGGATGCACTAGTGTGGGCTGGATCCTGAGCTGAGAAGTGCTATTGTGTCTATTGACACACAGTATGGTTTTTGCCCCGCTCCCTTCTTAGTACATTTGATTGACAGCAGCAGGAGCCAATTCTTCCCACTGCTGCCTCCATGTCCAGTGAGGAGAGGGAGGGATGGAGGGGAGGAGAGAGAGAGAGAGAGGAGGGGAGAGGAGAGAGAGGGAGAGAGGGAGGGAAGATAGAGATGGAGAGAGAGAGAGAAGCACTGGATCAAGATCCAGCTCAGGTAAGTATTTAGGGGGCAGGGGGAAAAGCTGATCACAGAAGATTTTTAACTTCATACGTAGAATGTATTAAAGTTTAAAAAAACCTTCTGCCTTTACAACCACTTTAAAGCTGCACTTTACAGTAATGTATTTATTGTGCCTTATGGAAAAAGCCGTCACAGAACTGATCAGAACAAAAAGCTGGTTATGGCATCCTCCATATTCTCTCAGTTCAGTTTTCCTTTAATGCAAATGAGCACTCTGTGAATTATGCATTTGTATTTTTCCCTGCAGTGCCTGAACAATCATTTTATTATGGGTAACCTTTACTGAAGATAAGTCGTATTTTGAGCATCCCAGAACCATTTTTACATTCTGCTGTGTTATGAAGAAGCTGTTCACAGCTGGTACTATTTTAAGACATACTCTGTATTCAGTTGATTGGAAAGCCCATCTCCTGGGAGCAACATGTGCCCAGAGTCAGAAGACCTCAGGCCAGGCTGCAGGAAACAGGAAATATATTCAGAACATTGGCATGTTTTCAGAGACTGCATGGAGAAGTACAACTCTAAGTGCCATTATAAATTAAAAAAAGGAATTTCGGGTGTGAATATCTTCTACATAGTTTAGTTGCTCAAGTTTCGACAAATGTATCTATGCAAATACCATACCTGGCAGATGCCCCCTGGAAGCTGGAAATCATTGAAGTAGACACCACTACTCTAGTGATCTTTTGTTTCTGGGGCTTGTGCTAGGTGGCTGGCCTGCTGCATTCTGAACACAGGAGGTTGGCTGCTCAGTAAGGGTGTCATTCAGAGAATGTTTTGCACCCCTGCCTAGCGGTAAATCTTCATAATGCAGCAGGCCAGCTGCTCAGCATGGGACCCAGAAGCAAATGGAAGTTACTGGAGTGGCAGTGTCTACTTCTGTAATTTCCAGCTTCCAGGGGCATCAGCCAGGTATGGTATAACACAGTTACATTGATCCAAGCCAGACCAAGGTTAACTATGTATAAAATATCCATACCTGGATTTCCTCTTTAACATACCAGCTGAAACATATACTTGTTTGTGCAAATATTTTATTAGAAAAATTCTTCACTTCTTTAACCACATGAATACCGGGCACTTTTACCCCCTACCTGCCCAGAGGGCAGCGCTTTCAGCGCTGTCACACTTTGAATGACAATTGCGCGGTCATGCAACACTGTACCCATATGAAATTTTTATAATTTTTTCACACAAATAGAGCTTTCTTTTGGTGGTATTTCATCACCACTGTGTTTTTCATTTTTTACTAAATAAAACAAAAAAAAAACTTTTGAAAAAAAAAACGCACTTTGCTTAGTTTCTGTTATAAAATTTGCCAAATAAATAAAATGTCTTCATAAATTTAGGTCAATATGTATTCTGCTACATTTATTTGGTGAATATAATAATAATAATTTAATTTGTATTTTTTTTCACATTTTTCAATAATGTTTTATATTTTTTATTACATTATTTTTTCTTTTTTTTACTATTTTTTTTTTCAACACACTGTGACCAAAGCAATAGTAACATTGACCTACTCTGGGCAAGTGATCAGGATTTTTTTTTTTTTTTAATACATTATGAATGCTAATACCAATGTATTTCATTGATATTTGCAATCACTGTTACTGAATTAAACTGATTCATTCAGTCTTTTGTTGTGTTTAGCTGTGATTGGGCAAAGCTGATCACATGATACAGAAGGGCTGTGAATGGCCCTGTCTGTGTCATGTGACTGCTTTGACCAGTCACAGCTAACTACATAATTGTATACAATGGATGGCATGACAGGAAGCCATCCATTGTATACAACTGACATGTGATCTGTTGTGATTGGTCACATGACACTGGCAACGGGCCAGCGTAGTAGTATGTCATCGGCTGTGCCCCATGGACACAACCGGTGACAGATCGCGCTGCTGCGTGGCCCCGCGGCCGTGTGATTGGCTCGTTTTGACAGGACGTCATATTATGCCCAGTCACAACGAGGAGTATCCTGCCCGGCTGTCAATCTGCAGTAGGCCGGGCGGGAAGGTGTTAAAGCAGCGAACATATTGTATATTATATTCATGTGGGATTTTTATTAGTATGTCTTAAACCTTTACCATAAAAAGCAGCAAACACAATAATGTTCTTTGTGTCTGCCTCAGTGATTATTTAATTTTAGCTGTATTGTTCTAGTACTGAAAATTCATTTAAAAAACGTGTTGATGAATGCACCCCAGTTTATGATTTTTCTCCTTTCTGCTAGGTGGACAGAGCAGTTTAAAAAGGAAGTTATTGCCAGTAGAATTGAGACTACGCGTACCCTCAGTGAAGCTATTGCCCAATCAGAGAGCCCTCCTCGTTCTTGGGTGCTAGTTACTGGAGTGGGTAAATAAGTATATGTTTCTGTTTTCAGCCATCAGACACATACATTTACCACATGGCCATGAACACAATACAGTCAAATGCAATAGCCATGTGTTTTGTCTTAGGTCAGTGCATCTGAAACATGGAGGACACATTAACAGTTTGTTCATTGTGTGTTCTGCTTTTTCAAACATAAGATGAGTATCTTCACGTTGTGCCATATTGGTGTGGCAATTTGTGAGTTCAAGTTTTATGACTGTCCTTTAGCTATTTACTTCCTTTGTGAACTCTAAAAAAGCAGTACACAATGGCAGCATTCTGGTGCTATCTTCAGTGGTTCAATGTTGTAGAAATCAGTGATCAGGCCTTGTAGAAGCCTTGCCAAATCTGATCTTTTGTGCTTTAACAGGATATTATCCTCCCAGTCAGACACAACAGTATACAGAGAATAGCTCTGGAGGAGATGCAGACTTTCTGTCCCGTCTGGTAAAGGACTGGGAGGATGTAGCAGAGCTGCCACTAGTTGATGGAAAATCTGTTACACAGCTGTCAAAAGTGCGATCAGGTATGTAAACAGAAGCTTCAAAAATACACCACAGTTAAAAGTAGCTAAAAAAAAAACAACATATTTTTGTCTGTAAAGTAACTTAACTAATTATGTTATACTGGATTTTGTACTTAAAGTACTTTTAAAGGCTTAATTAAAAAAAAAAAAATAACAAGCATGTCATACTTCCCTTCTGTGTGCAGTGGTTTTGTGTGTAGACTCTTCTTGGGTCCCCTGCTGGCCCCTCCCTCCTGTCAGATGCCCCCACAGCAATCAGCTTTCTATGGGGCACCCGAGCATGTACACTCCCCCGCCAATGCTCCATGTATCCATTCACACACAGAGCTGTGGCTCTGGCCCGCTCCCTCTCTCTTCTCATTGGCTCACTGGCTGTTATTGATAGCAGCGGGAGCCAATGGCTCAAGACTCCAGTGCACACCACTGGATCAAGAGGGAGCTTAGGTGAGTATTAGTGGGGGCTGCTGCACACAGAAGGTTTTTGACCTTAATACATAGAATACATGAAGGTCAAAAACCTTGAGCCTTTACAACCACTTTAAATGTGAACTGCCCTGTTTTTAGCTTTTCTAAAATTACCTTTGGTTATCGGAAAGGAATAATAAAAGTATATCTGAAGTTTTGAGTAGGGAATGGTTAAAACCTCTACTAGAGAGAGTAGGGACATAACAATAAAAGTCTGGCAGTGGTTTTAACTGCACTCCATCCAAAATTAAAGCAAAAAAAAAAGATTTTGTGATAACAATGCAAAATAAACATCCTGAAGGACTACAAGCTAAATAAGATTTCAATTTATTAATTTTCCAAATAATATAGATTACTTTAGTCATCCATACCTGTCTAGTCTGTTCGCAATCAAATTTAGAATTGCTACTTTTACTGGTAAACATCATGGGGTTAGTCAGGTCTCCTGTCATTTCCCCATATTGGAATTAAAATAGTACAGGGCAAGGAAAATGCTTCAGTTTTTCTGTATGCTGTGTATAAAGTGGGACAGAAATTTTTCTTTTCTTTGTCCTCCAACGCACTTGCACTAAATAAGAATGCAGAGCTCTGAGCAGATGGTGCTAGCTGTAGCTTCTAACAGGCAAGCATGGTGACTTTGTTTACATTTGCTCTAACTGAGCTGGCCAAGCACTGTCCAGTGCCTGAACGTCCTTGGGCTACATTAACTCAGGATATATCTAATGAGGCACATTATGCTCAGCATCTCCAGTGACAGCCGATGTGAACAAATCTACCATACCTCAGGTCTGCACTCCTTATTTTATGAGCTTTTTTGAGCTTGCAAAAAAGTTAAACTTTAAAAATGTGCTGACTTGTATAAGACAAAAGTACACTAGTCAAAATGTGGTGTGCAGTACACTTTGTTACCAGTAGATGACACTGTACCCCTGCATATGATCATTTTAGCACATTATTGGCTGTTTATTATAAGCACATTTTTAAAAATCATGATGAGTTTTTAAAATCTCTCAATGCATCCTTTTTAAATACTATTTTTGAGGCTCAGGTTGCAGGTTTGTTTGGTTCATGGTAATAATAAGTGATAATTCATTTTCTTAAAACACACACAATTTATCTGGCTGCTGTTCTTTATTTTATTATTATTATTATACAGTATTTATATAGCGCCAAAGGGTATGCTCAGCACTGTACAGTAGCAAGGGGGACATAACATGAGACAAGACAGTAACAATACACTACACGAGGGGTTCGAGGGCCCTGTTCTTTCGAGCCTACATTCATCTACATGCCCTGGGAATCTCTGAGATTCTAAGCACAAGTTGTGATGAAAAATGTTCACTGTCTCGTTTGGCTGCTGGTTATACTGGTATAAAGCTGCCAGACTGAGACTGTTTTCAGTTGATTAGTTGAGTAATGCTTATTCATTTTTATTTCCCACAAGGTGTTGTGCTGGGTCGCAATGGGGGTGCCCTTCCCACTATGCTGTGGCCTTTCCGGTTGTGTCTTGGTGGTACTGTGGGTTCTGGAAGACAGCCATTCCCTTGGATTCACATTGATGACCTTTGCAGATTGTTATGTCACACAATTGAGCAGGAAGGTATTTGTGGAGTTCTGAATGCAGTGTCTCCCTCCTCCGCCTCTGATACTAATGCTGATTTTACTCGAGCCCTGAGTAAGGCATTGGGACGTCCTGCGTTGTTCTTCACGCCAGCCTTTGCTGTGCAGCTGCTACTGGGAAATGACAGGGCTCCAATGTTACTCGAAGGGCAGAGAGTTGTCCCAGAGAGGACTCTACAAAGTGGATTTAACTTCCTGTATCCAGACCTTGACTCTGCACTTGCTGAACTGTTGAGCTGAAAAATATTTTAATTTGTTGATTAAAAGTCATACTGTGCAATATCGAACTGTGACTTCTCATCACATATTTATTAAAAAGAGAGCAGTACTGTACATATATAGAGTGGTCTTTTTTTTTTTTCCTTTCTTTAATAAAATAACTTTTAATTGAAAGTTTTTCAAAACATACACCATGTCCATAGCTCTTTGTAGCAGTATAGTCAAGGAAAGTACATTAAATTGAAGTTTCATTGTCATGGAGAAAATAAATTATAATAAACAGACAATGGAGTGATAGGGAACAGTATCATTACATAAAAAGCAAATCCACCTGCTATAAGCTGAATATAGCTGTGATCCTGCAATGTAATAGTAATCGAGCGCCAGCAACCAAGTACTCTGTGCACTAAACATAAGCTAAGAATAAAATAAATTGAAAGAAAGAAAAGAAAAAAAAAAGAGATATTGCGGGGGGGAGGGTGCCTCCTACTCAGGGCCGGACTGACCATTTGGAAACTCGGGCACTACCCGAGGGCCCAGGGTCAGTAGGGGGCCCCATGAGATGTCCCTGGTACCTTTTTCATAGGCTTTTTTGAGTTTGGGCAAGGACACAGGGGCCCCATGATCCCCTATTGCCCGGTAGCCCCATAAGTTGTCAGTCCGCCCCTGCTCCTACTCCATCACCTACGTCACCTACCTACATATTAGAAGCCGGATTAACTGATAGGTAAAAAAGAAAAGGTGAATATGCTTTGAAATGCCACAATTCCTATACTTTATTATGAATCTCTAGAGCAGGGACGGACTGACCATTTGGAAACTCTGGCACTGCCTGAGGGCCTGGGGTCAGTAGGGGGCCCCATGAGATGCCCCTGGTCCCTTTTTCTTAGGCTTTTTTGAGTTTGGACACAGGGACCCCATGATCCCCTATTGCCTGGGGGCCCCATGAGTTGTCAGTCCGCCTCTGCTCTACAGTATTGGGTAATCTAGCAGTGAGCTCTTCCATAAGGTCTACATATTTAATTCTAGTGTACAGAGCAGTATATGATGGGGATTCTCTTTTTTTCCAGTGGGGGGCGATGAGACCCCTCACAGCGGTGCGGATATGTTTCATCAATTTTTTATTGGACTTAGAGTCAACCCCAAACGGAACAATTTTAGGTGAAAAAGGAATGGGAAGGTCAAATAAGTGCTTTAACAGTTGATGTACTGATTTCCAAAATGGTACAATACGGGACCATTACCAGTAAATATGGAAAAGAGAACCTCGATCCCGCTGGCATCTCCAACAGCGATCACTGCTAGTGGAATGGACAGCATAGAGAATGTCAGGAGTCATATACCAAAAAGTATTTTATATGATTTTTCTTTATAAAGAGTGCAAATGGAGCTCTTGGCTGCCTGAGACCAGACAACCTGCCATGCTTCTGGTGATAGCTCCTCACCCAGGATCTTTTCCCACGTAAGCATATACAAATGTTTCCCTAGGGTCTGCATACAGTAAGCATTCAAGATCTTATAAATATCTGAAATAAGCCCTTTCTGGGAGGGACCTGCTAGCAGTACTGGGACAGGGTCGTCCAGCACCCAGAGCAAGGACCCAGAATTGCGCCCCGCTAACCCACTGTTAATGCATGCCGTAGAATGGGTGTACCACCCTGCATCTATAATTTTCACCCTTGCTCCTCTGTGCTGAGGGCAGCTACCCCTCCTGCCCACTCCTTGTCCCAGCCCTGCCTGCTAGAATTATTCTCTCAAAAGAAGTCAGTTGGGAAAATTGTAGATTAGGGGCAATGGTGGGAGCATAGTGGTGGATCTGCAAGTACCTGTAAAATAGTTGGTTTGGTAGATTAAATCTGTCTTTCAAAAGGTAACAGTTTGCGAGTCCTGGAATCAACCAGGTGGCTGTAATGAAAATGTTTCCTCGTCATCCAGGGAGAAGACATCGGAGAGGTTAGACTGTCTGGCACTCTGGGGTTATAGAGAAAAGCAGTCATTAAAGACACTGGAGACATAAGATTGTGTTTTCGTTTCAATGTCTTCCACAGATTTTGAAGGAGCGACATCATATGAAAGGAGGTTAGAGGAGTCTACCTCTGCATTCACATTCCAGAGAGTGGTAAATTCCTAATTGCTATATATGACTTGAGACCACATTTTTCTAGTCTTGGTCCTTGTCCTTTTTGGAGATTGCCAGCACTGTTTTTGTCAGAGCTGGCGACTGCCCTCTAATTCTCTGTGCAAAGAAGCGGAGCTTGTGTTCCCATAACTACTACTGCTGAAAAATCACCGGCAATTAGTGAGGGCTTGCTGCCCTGATCAAAAGAAAGGTTAAAGTGGCTGTAAACTAACCTTAAGACATTCAGTTTGCTAATGTGTAGCAGAAGTAATTGCCATTTCTTTAAGAATAAACAGTTTAGCTTGTTTTCATTCTGTTTCGTTTTTCAGTCCTGCTGATCTTCTCCAACCTCCTTTCACTTTCTGTCTACATACATGCACTGCAGTGGGGCTGCATATCAAGAGCATTGGCATAGATGTTTGTAGTCTCCACCAGGAGACCCTGTGACAGGGTGATGACATATTAGAGCTAGTAAGAGACAGGAATGGAGAAAATGTTATCTTTTATCAGGACATGCCTAAAAAAAAGATCTTCATGGCAAGTTTACTTGGAATTTTATTAGAAAAATTAAAGGATAAGTTCACCTTTTGGCCAAAAATAATCAATGCACTTTTTTTGCTGGTAAAGAAATGTGCATTTATTATTTTTGTCCAAAGGAGCCTGGAAAACATTGCACCAGTGATCAGTAGATTGCTGATGCCATGCAGGTCTCCTGCAGACCTGTCAGAATATCTGTTGCCGTACGCAATGTACTTTAGGAAGATATACTGACATGAAGCTTCAATGAACTATCACGGCACTCCACAGCACCATGGTAGTTCATTGAAAACTACAAGCCCACAGCCGATAAGGCTGTCGGGACTTGCAGTTCCAGGGCTGGACTGACCATTTGGAAACTCAGGCACTGCCCGAGGACCCGAGGTCAGTAGGGGGCCCCATGAGATGCCCCTGGTACCTTTTTCATAGGCTTTTTTGAGTTTGGGCAAGGACACAGGGGCTCCATGATCCCCTATTGCCCGCCCCATGAGTTGTCAGTCCGCCCCTGTGTAGTTCATTCATTCATGGAGGTCCGTGAATGAATGACGAGGCTGTGTGGGCAGAGCCTAGCTTTTCAAATTTGACAGTACAGGGAAACTTCTCCCAGTACGATCTGTCAGAGCGAGGGGGGGGCAGCAGGCGTGGCTGCGGCTATGGGAACATGTTACATGTTCCACCCTAAAAATGGGTGGAATATGTAACATGTTCCAAAGGTGAACTTATCCTTTAAAAAGATGTGGCAAGAAAAAAATGAGGTTTGCGAGTGTCAGGAACTGGAAGTCGCCTTCAGCATTAAAATGGAATTTTTTTACCTGTGCTACCTTTTCCAAAACAAAATAAAAAAAATTGTCTGGGGTTGGCTGTATCCTGCCATAGAAATATCATTTATATTATGGTAAATGCTGGCTAAAGTAGTAATCTTCTCTCTAATATTTCTACAATTAATCTATGTCTGTTTAAGAGAGAACGAGTTGGCTGCCATGTTTGTTCTAGCTCTTTACATACTGAGTGCATTATGGCATTCTTAGTCTGACAATGTAAGTTTAGACATGTTGACTTGTAAATGATTACCTAAATAAAAAAAAATGAAATGCTTAACTCCTCTTTTCATGCTCCTTTCAGTACTCCTTCACTTAAACCATGATTATGAAATAGCGATCGTAGATCATCAGTGATAGGCATACAGACACTCCCATGTAGAATAAATATTTTACTTGGAGGAGGCACTATTTCACTTTACCACTGTGATAACTTGAGAACTACATTGCAAATGATAGAACATTGCCGTCCATATAGTGGAATGGAATAGGTAATACAATTTCTGTTCAGTGAACATTACTTTTAGTTCATATAAGTTTCAGGTGCCAAATCAGAATCCCATTGAAGTTAATTGGAGGCAAATGTTAAGCCATGATGGGCATTTTGTAGGCTAATGAATAAGGGTATGTCAAACCTATAACATGGGGGCTAGACATTGCCCTGGGGAACTTATACCAAAGCAAAAAAAAAAAAATTTGACAGAGATCATGCTTAAATGATGCATTAAACATTAAAAAAATATTTTTTTTTAATACAATGCCCAGGGGATTCCCTTAACCTGCCTGTGAAATGGCACATCTGTATTGATGCTTGCAACCTACTACAGCAAAATTGATGTTTACAAGAAAAATTAATTTTAAATGACAGGAAACAGCCATGGAATTCCTTGTTCTATAGCAGACTCTTATCCTAGAAGAGGGTATGCTATGGATGTTAATGAGTGCCCACACAAAAAAATGGGGTTCCACGGTCCACCTAAAAAATACATACATGACCCATAAATCTGTGATACATATGAATACGCTATAAAAAACATTTTTTTTTTTTAAAAAAGGAGCACAAATTATTGATTTATAATCATACAGTTTTATTTATGGTTGATTATATACACTGAGCGAGGGCTGTAGCTGCAGGTGGGGAGGTAGGATGGTCTGGACGATTCATGGCAGACCAGGGTCATATGCAGGACCTTTACCTGGCAGATAGCCCTGAACTCATTGAACTTAGTGGGTACTAGGATTGGTCCTGGATGTCTTCCTGCCATTCAGGGTGGAATGTTGTAGGGTGAATTGGGACAATATCATCTTGTCCTCATTAGGAGGGGGGGATTCTTTGATCCAGGGGCGAGGGGGGTTTTAGGTTCCTTGGTAGAGGTGTTTTTTTTTTTTTGGGGGGGGGGTTGGGGATAGGTGGAGAGGGAGGGTGAGGGTGGGTAGATCATGTGTGTGTGTGTGTGGGGGGTGTTTTTTTAGGGGGGGTTGTTCTCTAATTTTGGGGGGGAAGGGAGCGTGTGGGCTCAAGAGGGTTGTTAAGGTCAGGGGAGGTT